GTCTCCCTGCAGGCACGCTGCCGCCGCGGGCAGTGGTCCAGGGCGGGATGCTGCGTTTCGGCGCCGTCGAGCCCGCCGACGAGGGGCACTACGTGTGCCGGGCGCGCAGCAGTGCCGGGCAGCACACGGCACGCGCCTTCCTCCACGTGCAAGGTGAGCGTCGTCCCCATCATCCCGGTCATCCCTGTTGTCCCCATGGTCCCCATTGCCCATCCCCATTGTCCCCCTCCCCATCATCTCCATCATCCCTGTCACCCCCATTGTCCCCATTGCCCTGTCCCCATTGTCCCATCATCTCCATCGTCCCCCACCATCTCCCATCGTCCCTGTCACCCCCCTTATCCCCATCATCCCCATCCTCCTCACCACTATCGTCTACATCGTCCCTGTCACCCCGTTGTCCCCATCACCCCCGTCATCCCTGTCACCCCCCGTCATCCCCATCGCCCATCTCCGTCATCCCATTGTCCCCATCATCCCTGTCACCCCCATCATCCCCATCACCCCCACTGTCCCCATCATCCCTGTCAACCCCATCGTCTCTGTCACCCCCTATCACCTCTGTCATCCCCTTCATCCCCCATCATCCCATTGTCCCCATCATCCCATTGTCCCTATTATCCTCATTGTCCCCATCATCCTCATTGTCCCCATCATCCCTGTCACCTCCATCATTCCCACTGTCCCCATTGTCCCCATCATCCCCATCATCCCCAATTGCCCCCATCATCCCTGTCACCCCCATCATCCCCATTATCCCCAATTGTCCCCATCACCCATGGCACCCCCATCGTCCCCATCACCCACACCCTCCCCATCGCCCCCACCCTCCTTGGTGCCACCCTGACCCCCGGCTTCCCGCAGCCGCCGGCGCACCCCGGGTGCAGGTGAGCCCGGAGCGGACAGAGGTGCAGGAGGGCTCCACGGCGCGGCTCTACTGCCGGGTCTCGGGGTCACCCACCGCCACCATCACCTGGGAGAAGCAGGGGGGCACCCTGCCGCCGCAGGTGAGCCAGGTGCCAGCACCCTTGGGTGCTCCCGGGGGGTGTGAGTGCACCGCAGGTGCCGCTCACGCCCACCCTCATGCCGCAGTCCCGCACTGAGCACGCCGACATCGCAACGCTGGTCATCCCCGCCATGACGGCGGCCGACGCCGGTGTCTACTTCTGCGTGGGCACCAGTGCCGCCGGCACGGCCCGCGCTGCCATCGAGGTGGTGGTGGTGCCAGGTGAGGCGGGTGGGGGACGCCGGCGGGGTTTGGGGATGGTTTTGGGGCTCCGCAACCCACCCGTGTCCCCCCTTTTCTGCCCTGCAGGGGCAGCACCGCCCGTCCGCATCGAGTCCTCGTCCCCATCCGTCGCCGAGGGACAGACCCTGGACCTCGACTGCCTGGTGGCAGGATCCGGCCCCGCCACCGTGACGTGGTACAAGCGCGGCGGCTCCCTGCCTGCTGGCCACCAGGTAGAGCGCGGGCAATGCAGGCAGCACCCCAAATCCTGCCCTGTCCCCCACTGTGTGACACTGATGCATGTCCCCAACCCCAGGTTTCGGGGTCCCGCCTCCGTGTCCCCCACGTCACGGCGGCTGATTCAGGGGAGTACGTGTGCCGAGTGAGCTTGGGGACCACCGTCCGGGAGGCGTCTGTCATCGTCACCGTCGTGGCCGCATCTGGCTCATCCTACGGTGAGACTGGGCTCGGTGGCACCACGGGGGACGTGCTGGTCCCAGACAGGTGGTCATGGCACCGTCCTCCCCTCGCCAGGGCCACCGACTTCGGGTGTCCCCGTCCGGATCGAGGCGTCCTCGTCCACCGTGGCGGAGGGACAGAGCCTGGACCTCAACTGCGCGGTGGCCGGGCAGGGACAGGCCACCGTCACCTGGTACAAGCGCGGGGGGGCCCTCCCGGCCAAGCACCAGGTAGGGGACACCGGAGGGGGATGTCACCAAGGGGGGTGGCTGGGGTTGGCCCATGGCCCTGTGCAAGCCCAGGTGGCCCCATACAAGCCCAGGTGGCCCAGGCAAACCCAACTGGTGCTTTTGCAAGCCCGAGCAGCCCCATGGAAGCCCAAGTGGCCCCGGTGACCCCCGTGTCCCCTCCCCGCAGGTGTCTGGCTCCCGGCTGCGGCTGCTGCAGGTGACAGCAGCCGACTCGGGCGAGTATGTGTGCCGGGTGACCAGCGGGGCCACCACCAAAGAAACCGCTGTCATGGTGACAATCCAGCCCAGCGCAGCCAGCGCCTACCGTGAGTGGGGACAGGGGGGTGACAGTGCCAGCAGGGGTCCCCATGTGCCATGGCACTGAGCCATGTCTCGCATGCCCGTGCCGGCGGGGCTCTGCCATGGTCACCAGTGTCACCTGCTTGTCTCGGTCCCCAGCCGCGGGCAGCGCAACCCCCCTGCGCATCGAGTCCCCGTCCTCCGCCGTGGCCGAGGGCCAGACCTTGGACCTCAACTGCGTCATTGCCAGCCCCGCGCAGGCCACCGTCACCTGGTACAAGCGCGGGGGGTCCCTCCCAGCCAAGCACCAGGTAGGGGACACGGAGGGGGATGTCCCCAGGGGGGTGGTTGGGATTGACCCGTGGGCCCGTGCAAGTCCAGGTGGCCTCATGCAAGCCCTGGTGGTCTATGCAAGGTCAGGTGGCCCTGTGCAAGCCCATGTAGCCCACGAAAGCTCTGGTGGCCCCATGCAAGCCCAGGTGGCCTATGCAAACCCAAATGGCTCTGTGCAAGCCCCAGCAGCCCCATGGAAGCCCAAATGGTCCCTGTGTCCTCCCTGTCCCCTCCCCGCAGGTGTCCGGCTCCCGGCTGCGGCTGCTGCAGGTGACAGCGGCCGACTCGGGCGAGTACGTGTGCCGGGTGACCAGCGGGGCCACCACCAAGGAAAGCTCCATCGTGGTGACAATCCAGCCCAGCGCGGCCAGCACCTACCGTGAGTGGGGACCAGAGGGGACGGGGGACGTTACCCATGGGTGGGTGACACTGCTCTGCGGCGTCCCCAGGTCTGGAATGAATTGTTCCCTGGGGGAGCCACCCATGTGCGTGCCCATCCTGGCTTCCCGGGCTCCTGGTGTCCCTTGGAGGGTCACACGTGGTGGTGGCCACGGTCTCTAACCCGTCTTGGTCCCCAGCCGCGGGCAGCACGACCCCCCTGCGCATCGAGTCCTCGTCCTTGTCATCACCTGTGGCCGAGGGCCAGACCTTGGACCTCAACTGCGTCATTGCCAGCCCCGCGCAGGCCACCGTCACCTGGTACAAGCGCGGGGGGTCCCTCCCGGCCAAGCACCAGGTAGGGGACACGGAGGGGGATGTCCCCAGGGGGGTGGTTGGGATTGACCCGTGGGCCCGTGCAAGTCCAGGTGGCCCATGCAAGCCCAGCTGGCCCTGTGCAAGCCCAGGTGACCCCATGGAAGCCCAGGTGTCCCATGCAAGCCCAGGTGGCTCATGGAAACCTAAGTGACCCCATATAAGCCCAGGTGGCCCAATGCAAGCCCAGATGATCCTGTGGAAGTCCAGGTGGCCATGCAAGTCCAGGTGGCCCATGGAAACCTAAGTGACCCCCTGCAAGTCCAAGTGACCCTAGGCAAGTCCAAATGGCCCCATGCAAGCCCAGGTGACCCTATGCAAGTCCAGGTGGCCCATGCAAGTCCAGGTGGCCCATGCAAGCCAAAGTGACCCTATGCAAGCCCAGATGCCAGCCCCCGTGGCCCATGCAAGCCCAAGTGACCCCCGTGGAAGCCCAGATGGCTCGTGCAAGCCCAAGTGGCCCCATACAAGCTCAAGTGGCCTTGTACAATCCCAGATGGCCCCGTGCAAGCACTGATGGCCACATGCAAGCTCAAATGGCCCCGGTGACACCCATGTCCCCTCCCTGCAGGTGTCCGGCTCCCGGCTGCGGCTGCTGCAGGTGACAGCGGCCGACTCGGGCGAGTACGTGTGCCGGGTGACCAGCGGGGCCACCACCAAGGAGATCTCCATCATGGTGACCATCCAGCCCAGCAGGCCCAGCACCTACCGTGAGTGGGGACCGGGAGGGGACCGCTGGACTGTGCCACGGTCTCCTTGAGGTGACCCTCCCATCTCTGTCCCCAGCCATCGGTGTCACCCCCCCGGTGCGCATCGAGTCCTCATCCTCCTCCGTGGCCGAGGGACAGACCCTGGACCTCAACTGCATTGTGGCCGGGCAGGGACAGGCCACCGTCACCTGGTACAAGCGCGGGGGCTCCCTCCCGGCCAAGCACCAGGTAGGGGACACCAGAGGGGTGATTTGGGGTGGAAAAAGGGTTTTTGGGGGTTTTGAGGGGTTTGTGTCCCCCTTCTCACGTGTGTCACCCACCCCCAGGTGTCAGGCACCCGCCTGCGCATCCCCCAGGTGACAGCGGCCGATTCGGGGGAGTACGTGTGCCGGGTGACATCGGGTGGTGTCACACATGAGACGTCCCTCATCGTCACCATCCAGACTGGCGCCGGCTCCTCTTACGGTACCGAGGACGGGTGGGAGGTGACGTGGGGACAGGACGGGGACGCAGTGGCTGCCCCTGCTGGCCCTGCCGCCACCCCCAGCCGTTGGCGTCACACCGCCGGTGAGGATCGAGACCTCGTCCGCCACCGTCACCGAGGGACAGACCCTGGACCTCAACTGCATGGTGGCAGGACAGGGTCACCCCCATGTCATCTGGTACCGGCGCGGGGGGGCTCTGCCCCCCAACAGCCAGGTGGGACACTGGGGAGGTGGCGTCACCCTGCAGGGCACAGCCCCACGTGCCCACACATTGATGTGTCCCCAACTTGTCACCTCTCCAGGTGTTGGGTACCCGCCTGCGCCTTGTCCAGGTGACAGTAGCCGATTCAGGGGAGTACGTGTGCCGGGTGACCCTGGGGACTGTCACGCAGGAGGCATCTGTCATCGTCACCGTGCCTGGCGGCGCCGGCACTTATTACCGTGAGTGTGAGCAAGAGGGCAGCGCTTGGGGACAGGTGGGTGCCACCTCGGTGACAAACGTCTCCTTTCCCTGTCCCCCAGCCTCCGGCGTCTCCCAGCCCCTGCGCATCGAGTCCTCGTCCTCAGCCATCGCCGAGGGACAGACCCTGGACCTCAACTGCCTGGTGGCAGGATCCGGCCCCGCCACCGTGACGTGGTACAAGCGTGGTGGCTCCCTGCCCACTGGCCACCAGGTAGGGTGCACAGGCGGGTGTCACCCCAAATCCTGCCCCGTCCCTTGCTTTCCAGCACTAATGTGTCCCCATATTGTCCCCACCAGGTGTCGGGCACCCGCCTGCGCATCCCCCAGGTGACAGCGGCCGATTCAGGGGAGTACGTGTGCCGGGTGACATCGGGGGGCGTCACACAGGAGACATCCCTCGTCGTCACCATCGATGACGGAGCCAACCCATCCCACCGTGAGTGCCACCCCTCAGGGGACGATTCCCCACCAGTGCCGGGGACTGGTGGGGACATTTAGCCTTAACTCTGCCCACGCAGCCACCAGCGTCATGCCGCCCATCCGCATCGAGTCCTCGGCGTCCTCTGTCACCGAGGGACAGACCCTGGACCTCGACTGCGTGGTGGCTGGCCAGGGACAGGCCACCATCACCTGGTACAAGCGTGGGGGGTCCCTCCCGGCCAAGCACCAGGTAGGTGGGGATGCCAGCAGGCTGGGGGACGGTGGCCGGTTGATGCCACCACCTCCTGCCATTGTGTCCCCAGGTTTCGGGGTCCCGCCTGCGGCTGTCACAGCTCTCAGTGGCCGATTCAGGGGAGTACGTGTGCCGGGCGGACACAGGCAGCGTCTCCCGCGAGGCCACCATCACCGTCACTGTCACCTCCCGTGACAGCTCCAGCTATCGTGAGCGTGGCCATGGGGCGAGGGAGGACACGGTGGGGAGATGGGGGACATGGGTGACCTCAGTGGCTTCCCTGTCCCTTTTTGTCCCTGCAGGTCTGCAGAGCCCCATCATCTCCATCGACCCACACAGCATGGCGGTGGCACCGGGTGAGGATGCCACCTTCAAGTGCCGCATCCATGATGGCGCCCGGCCCATCAACATCACTTGGCGGATGGGACCTGGCCAACATCTCCAAGGTATGGTGGTCCCCAGGGTGGCCCTGGCGCGGTCCCCAGGGTGGCCCTGGTGTTGACGGCTCCTCCTTGTCCAGACAATGTGAAGATCAGCACCAACGGCTCGGTCATCTCCATCACCGGTGCCCATGTGGGCAACCAGGGCGCCTACCACTGCGTGGCCTCCAACCGCTTTGGCGTCGCCAGCAGCGTCGTCAACCTCCTGGTGCAAGGTGCGAGGTGGCGGGGGTCACTGTCCCCATCTCCATGGGCTCCAGATGCCTTCGGGGTGGTGGTGTCCCCACGGCCATCCCCATGTTGGCATCCCCCATGTGCTCCAGGTGCTCCCAGTGTAGTGGTGTCCCCATCCCCATGTCCTCTCCATGCCTCAGGTGCTCCTGGAGTGGTGGTGCCCATGTCCCCATGCTGATGTCCTCCAGGTGCCCCAGGGGTTGTGATGTCCCCATCCCCATGATGATGTCCTCCATGTGCTCCAGATGTTCCTGGGGTGGTGGTGTCCCCACCCCCATGTCCTCCATGTGCTCCAGATGTTCCTGGGGTGGTGGTGTCCCCATCCCCATGCTGATGTCCTCCTCATGCTCCAGATGCTCGCAGGGTGATGGTGTCCCCATCGCCATACCAACGTCCTTAGTGGTGGTGTCTCCATCCTCACACTGATGTCCTCGCCCTTCTCCAGGTGCCCCCACGGTGTCGGTGATGCCACCGGGCCCTGTGACGGTGAAGGAAGGCAAATCCCTCAGCCTGGAGTGCCTTGGCCGGGGTGAACCGCGGCCGCTGGTGCGCTGGAGCCGGCTGGGCTCCCGGCAGAAGGTGGAGCACCAAACGCTGCTGCACATGGACAGCCAGGCCATCCTGCAGGTGAGCGGGGCACCCCGGGGTGCTGTGGGGTGCTGGTGGGTGCCTGGTGCTCACCACCCACCCTGTTCCCCCTCTGCCAGCTCTCACCGGCCAAGCCGGAGCACGCCGGGACCTACGTCTGCACGGCACACAGCGCCTTGGGTTCGGCGCAAGCCCGGGTGGACGTCAATGTGGAGTCGGCACAACGGCACCCCGGTGCCCCCGAGGTCACCGCGCCGCCCGCCATCACCGTGGTGGCCGGGGACACTGCCACGCTGCACTGCACGGCCAGAGGTACGGGGAGGATGGAGGACGGTGGTGGAGGAGGGGTATCCTGCTGCGGTACCCTGACGCCATGGTGATGGGAGCCCGCGTTGCCCGTAGGTGAGCCGGCGCCCCGGATCGAGTGGTCGAAGCTGCGGGCGCCCCTGCCCTGGCAGCACCAGGTGGTGAACGGCAGCTTGGTCATCCCCCGCGCCGCGCAGCAGGACTCAGGCCAGTACATCTGCAACGCCAGCAACACCGCCGGCTCCGCCGAGGTCTTCATCACCCTCGATGTGGAGAGTAAGGGGGTGGCGGGGGATCGGGGTGCCCCTGGGTCCCTCCCACCATCTCCACCATCTCCTTCACCCCCACTGTTGCCATCGCCCATCCTTGGCTCCTCTCCGTCCTTCCTCTGCATAGGGCCATCTCCGTTGCCATTCCCACCCTCCCATCTAACCCTTCCTCATGGATCCATCCTTGCTCCATCCCGGCACTCATCCTCCATCTCCTCTTAAGCTTCTTCATCCAGCCCTTCCTCATGGATACATCCATCCGCTTATCCCACCCCCGTGCACATCCATCTCTACGGCTCTCTCCTCCATCCATCCCCTGTTCATGGATACGTCCATCTCATCCATCCCAGCTCACACCCATCTCTCCATCTCCTCTCACACCCCCCCATCTATCCCTTCCTGGTGGATTCATCCATCATTCAACCATGCCAGCTCACATCCATCTCACCATCTCCTCTCACACCCCTCCGTCCATCTTTTCCTTGTGGATTTGTCCATCTCATCCATCCCAGCACACGCCCATCTCTCCATCTCCTCTCAAACTCCTTCATCCACCCCCTTCCTGGTGGATTCATCCGTCGCTCATCCATCCCAGCTCACATTCACCTCTCCATCTCCTCTCACACTCCTTTATCCATCTCTTCCTGATGGTTTCATCCATCTCGTCCATCCCAGCACACACCCATCTCTCCATCTTCTCTCAAACTTCTCCATCCATCCCTTCCTGGTGGATTCATCCATCACTCAACCATGCCAGCTCACATCCATCTCTCCATCTCTGCTCACACCCCTCCATCCACCTTTTCCTTGTGGATTCATCCATCTCTCATCCATCCCAGCACACTCTCATCTCTCCATCTCCTCTCACACCCTCCATCCACCCCTTTCTGGTGGTTTCATCCATCACTCAACCATCCCAGCACATGCCCATCTCTACATCTCTTAACTCCTCCATCCACCTTTTCCTTGTGGATTCATCCATCTCTCATCCATCCCAGCACAATCCCATCTCTCCATCTCCTCTCTCACCCTCCATCCACCCCTTCCTGGTGGTTTCATCCATCACTCATCCATCCCAGCTCACGTCCACCTCTCCATCTCCTCTCACACCCTCCATCCACCCCTTCCTTGTACATCCATCCATCTCATTCATCCCAGCATACGCCCATCTCTCCATCTCCTCTCAAACTCATCCATCCATCCATCCACCTACCTCTTCCTTGTGGATTCATCCATCGCTCAACCATCCCAGCTCACATCCACCTCTCCGTCTCCTCTCACACCCTCCATCCATCCCTTCCTCGTGGATCCATCCATCTCTGGTCCATCCCACCTCACATCCATCTCTCCATCTTCTCTCAAAGTTCTCCATCCACCCCTTCCTGGTGGATTCATCCATCGCTCAACCATCCCAGCTCACGTCCACCTCTCCATCTCTACTCACACCCTCCATCCATCCCTTCCCTTGTGCACCCATCCATCTCTGGTCCATCCCAGCACATGCCCAGCTCTCCATCTTCTCTCAAGCTTCTCCATCCATCTCTTCCTCATGGATCCATCCATCTCTGGTCCATTCCAATGCACACCCACCTCCATCTCCACCCACACCCTCCCACTGACACCCTCTTTGCCCCATTCATTGCCCTGTTGACCCATTCATTGCCCCATCCCGGCTGTGGCCGGGCGCTGACGGTACCGGCTGTCCCTGCAGCGCCACCATACGCCACCAGCCTGCCGGAGGAGACCACGGTGCGCGCCGGTGATGCGCTGCAAGTGCAGTGCCTGGCCCACGGCACCCCGCCACTGCTCTACGCCTGGGACAAGGTCAACGGCAGCCTCTCGGCACGCGTCATCCACCGCGCTGGCCTCCTCCGCATCAGCCCGGCATTGCCCGCTGACGCCGGCACCTACCGCTGCCTCGTCACCAACCGCGTCGGCACCGCCGAGACCTTCGCCCACGTGGCCGTCCATGGTGAGGCCCTTCCCGCACCGGGGATGCCGCGCACCGGGGATGCCCACGCCGCTGGGTACCATCAAGGCTTTGCATCCCTCCCAGGTGATGCCGGTGATGGTGGGGACCCTGCTGGTGGTCCCTTGACCGTACGGGTGACGCCGGGGAGCCTCGTCAAGGGGGTGGGCAGCACCGCCGAATTCGCCTGCACCGTCTCGGGGGACCCCCGGGCACGTCTGGAGTGGCTGAAGGATGGTGGGGAGCTGCCCCCCACCCACAGCGTGCGGGACGGGGTGCTGCGGTAAGGAGCGGGGGGACGGGGCGGCAGGGACGCCCCCAGCCTGTCCCCTGCGGGGTCCCACACCCGGCTGTGTCCCCGCAGGATACCAGAGCTGGCGTGGGGGGCACAGGGGGTGTACGTGTGCCGGGCCAGCGCCCCGGGCGGGCAGGCGGAGGACAGAGCCACCCTCGCCGTCCAGGGTAGGAGCGGTACCCGTGCCCCGAGGGATGCGGGCACCCCCCCAACCTGCTCCCCACAAACACTGGCACCCCGGGACCCCCATCTCCCCAAACCCAGGGGTACCCACTGACCTGTCCCCCCATACCCATGGCCACCCTGGTACCCCCATCTCTTCCCACACCCATGGGCACCCCAGTACCCCCAATCTCTCCCCACACTTACGGGCACCCCAATATCCCCCATCTCTCCCCACACTTATGGGCACCCCAGTACCCCCCATCTCTCCCCATGCCCATGGGCACCCCAATATCCCCAATCTCTCCTCATGCCCGCAGGCACTCTGAGACCCTAAATCTCTCCCCATGCCCATGGGCACCCCAACACCCCAAATCTCTCCCCACATCCATGAGCACCCTGGTACCCCCAATCTCTCCCCATACCCACAGGCACCCCAACAGCCCCAATCCCTCCCCATCCCCACGAGCACCCCGTTTCTCCCCATCTCGCACTCCTTCGGTTGGTACCCCGAACCGCGATGCCTCCCCCATGCCGGGGGGGTACCCCAAAACCCCGCTGTCCCCCTCAAGCTCTCCCCAGGGCCCTGATCAACATCCGGACGGCGGTGCAGACGGTGCTGGCGGGCACGGCGGTGGAGCTGGAGTGCCTGGGCTTGGGTGAACCCCGTCCCCATGTCACCTGGAGTAAAGTGGGGGGCCGTATCCGACCCGGGGTGCTGGTCCGCGCCGGCACCCTCACCATCGAACGGGTAGAACGGGCAGACGCCGGGCAGTACCGCTGCACTGCCGCCAACGCCGTGGGCACCGTCCAGTCCCACGTCATCCTCCATGTGCAAGGTGAGGATGGGGACGCGGAGCTGGGGACACGCGCACGCGGTGGCACCGTGGGGTGGTGACACCTCCTTGCGTCCCCAGCCGCTCCCCAAATCGCCGGGCAGCCGGAGGTGAAGGAGGTCTCGGTGGGTTCGGCGGCTGTTTTGCCCTGCTTGGCATCTGGCTTCCCGGTGCCGGAGATCACCTGGAGCAAGGTGAGACGGAGGGATGCAGGGATGGGGGTGCAGGGTCGGGGGGGGCACCCTATGGGGGCTGACCCCCCC